TTATTTGTGCTGCTTTAGCTGTACCCTGTCCGGTGGACATTCCCCGCGCTGTGATACCTTTCTGCTGAGCCAGGAGGCCCATCTGTGGCAGGTGTAATTAAACTGCTTCACAGGGGAGGAGTACATAGGGTGCTGGGAAGACTGAGACTAATGTGCTAGAGCTGTGATTTCTGCAAGGCGTGGTGGAAAGTAGGTGGATGCGGCTGAAAATTGAACTGATTCAGAATGCAGCGTTCCTGTCGACGCAGTGCCTCGCCATGGCTTGCGGTATGCAGGGCCATGGAGTGCCTGCTCCTTCTAGGATGGAAAGGACAAGAAGAAAAAAATGAAGCTGCTGGGAAAATCAAGCTCTTTAGTTCAAGGAGGGTCTTATGTCATCCTTTGTTTTGGTTCCCTTGTTGGGAAGAATTTAATTTGCTTTAAGGTGAATCAAAATTTCCACTCAGAATTGTACTTCTCCATGTACCTTCTCTGTTACCTGGTTAAAGAATTCAGACTGGGGACTGGTACATTAGGTAGTGATTAACTTTATTAGCAAATGCCATGCTCGTCTTCTCTTTCATAATTATGGCACCTTGACTTTGGAAGAAAATGGATTCAGTCTTTCCTATATTGAAAATATTATCCGGTGAATATATCTCCGATGTTTAGCTTTAATTGCTATACTCTTCAAGTACAAGGCAATCAGTTAAAAAAAAGTTATTAGAGTTAGTCAGGATGCTTGCAATAAAATATTTTTTTATCAAAGACTGTAGCATTTTTCTTAACTAAAACTTTTTTAGGAAAGCATGCATTCAGCAAGGCTGAGAACCAAAACTGTGCTTAAAACATGAACTAGAGAGCATGTGAGAGGGAACGCTGCGGCTCCTGGGATGCTGGAGGTGCTGATTCAGTTCTTATACCTGATGTAGATCAGTGGTTGGATCTTGTGTCTTGTGCCTGACAGGTGATAGCTCAAGGCTACACACGCAGTTACACTCTTGCTCTATCTTCCTCTTTCTCTTCTTAAAATACGGTTTTTGAAAGATCTGGATTTTGTCCTAATGTTGGAGTATAAAAATATGAAATCTTTGAAACGTTAAAACATTTCATAATATGGAAAAATAATTTGCCCTTGGCTCACAGCCCTGTTATTTTTCTTAGTATGGAATAAGTCAAAAAGAGGAACGTTTTCAAGGTGCTGTGTTGATCGTGACCAGCACGAATCAATAGCTGTAGCTCTTTGTAAAATGTAGGTGCAAGTTCAGTTTTACAGCTGGTGCTTTCCATGTGCAGTTCTCTCAGCAGTAGTTGTTGGTGGTTACGCTAAGGATAGAAAGGACTTCTCAAGGCTCACCCCGGTCTGAGCCCCACTTAGTTTTCACCAGGAGTCCTCAGCATTAGGCTGAAACTGTTCAGTGACTCAGTCACTGTCCTAACAGGTCTGCCGTTGCATCTCAGTAGCAGATGTGGGTTTCTACTGTTTAGTGTTACAGCAGAAAAAATACTCTGCAGAGTAAACATAGTTCCTTCACACTGATGCTGGGCACTTAGACAGTGTCAGGGGGGAGAAAAAAGATTAAATGAGCAAGTCATATCTGAGGAGAACCAACAAAGAGAATGGTGGTAACCTCTGGGTAAGGTGGGTTGGATCTGGTCCAAGATAACTAGAGGACCCCATAAAGCCTAAGACTCTCAGTTTATTCCAACATCACAGCAAGCTGCAGACAGAAACCAGTTTCCCATGAAGAGAAGACCAGGAGAGACCAGGTCCCTGAATTGCCATCTAGGTTTAATTCCTGACTACCACAAGATGAACTTCAGAGCAATGTCATGGGTTCTCATCTAAAAAATTTGAACAGGGACCAAAGTTGTAGCTGTCATGGTCGGTGCTGTCCCTTTCCGTGTTTTTCCTGAAGGAAAGGTGGCTTTCACCAAGACTGGCACCCTTCTGCTGTGATCCCCCACCCCGTGGCTCTCCAGGGCTGATTTCAGATGCTGTGTGTTGAGATCTACACGCATACTTTGAATACAATATGAATTCCCCTCTGATGCATAATTTATGGGCTGAAAGGCATTAGTCTTATTTAGAGAGGGAGAAAACCTTCTTTGGAAAGATTATTCAGAGTATCTGAGATAAGAATTACACCTGCAAGGTACTGGGTGGACAATTTGGAAGCTCTGGAGGGTTTAATATTACCTGTAAATCTGTGACAATGCATCAAGCACACTTCAGCTGTATCCTGTGCTAGTATTTTTCATGGAAAATGAAAGATTATTACCTCCCTTTGTAGTATATGGTAGTTTTCTGAGAAGTCTCTGCCAGGCAGCTGGTACAGAAGAACATTCGCTTTCTGCAGTAATACAAGCCAGTAATTAAACCTGAACACGGCGAATAGAGCTATAAAGTAAATCAAAGTGAGTGCTGAATTGTACTTTCATGCACCAGGTGGTAAACTCTTTATAACAAAGCTCAAAGCTTCCTTTCTTTGCTGAGGCACCACGAGTTGCAGCCTCTGTTTGCAGCGTTGCTGTTGCTGTCACCCGCTGTAAATCCAGCATGGAAAGAAATCACAGAGGAGAGAAGTGGAAAGTGCGTTTTGCTCCTTTGCCTCCCTTCCCCAAAGGGTGGTCACCTGAAAATCTGTGGCCCCTGGGCTCATGAGGTGGAGGAAGCCACCCCAGAGGAGACCGGACTGTTTTGAACCATCTTCTGTGTGGAGTGGCTTGGACTTTGTAGTCAGATTAAATCAGTGGAAAGGCTCCCTTGGCTTTCAGCAAGTAGCGTTTTCTCTAATGCGTGCATCTCTGGCACTATGATTGGTGAAAAGACTGGACTAAGTCCAGAATTTGGTGAACTTCATGGTGCTTCCTTGCCTTGAAGTCCATATAGAATGAAGATAACCTCTTGCATGAGTGGTGGGGAGGAGGGCACGCTTGCAGGGCCAGTGTCCCATCTCATCCCTCCCATTCAGGAGCTTGTCACTGACTGTTCGCCTGCTTCACCGTAAGTGTTGGTGATGGGAGAGGAAGAACAAATGTTTCAACCTACTTCACCAAAGCATATAATCTCTTGATGCTACTGTACCATTGACTCCTCAAATCGCGCCTGCCCAGGATGCCTTCATGTTATCTGCTGCTGTGCAGACAAGCTGTCAAAATGATAGCAGGGATTCTAACACTCAGATGACTCGGGAAGACAGCTGGAGTAAGCCTTACAGGTTTATTTGGGGTTTTTACATTGTTTTTCTCGTATGATAGTTCTCAGCGTTATGTGAGCATCCAGAGCAGCAGTGGTGATAATGGGCTGCTCGAAGCGAGTGATGGATTAGGCTTGGTGTGCAGGGGTGCCATCCGCAGTACCGAGGGGTGAGGGCTGCGAAAGTAGGGAGGGTGTGGGTCTCCGTTATCTCATGCAGCAGACTTAAAATAGTAGTGCACAGGCTGGGTGTAGGGAGCCCTTTCCTGAGGGGCATAAGGAAAAGGGAGCATAAAACCAAAGTATTTTAAAACATATCTTGCAGTCTGATTGCCTGCTAGATTCTCTGTTAGTTCTCATAATATGCTTGAAAAGTTTTATTTGTGCCTCGAGGGCGATGAGCCTGTCTTCATTTAGGGATGCAGCCGCAGATAACACCGCCGTGCTATTTGGCAGCTTTATGCGCTCTCGCCAGCAGCCGGCCTCTCTTATTTACTCACTCGTACATGTGTTGCCTTGCACAAGCAGTACAGTTTTCTACCCTCCTAGTTATAATTGCATCCTGGGCCGCCTTGGTATGGAGCCTGTTCCTGTAGCGTGAGGTGAAAGAGCCAGTTGTTGCCATTAGAAATTTTAATTTTTTTTTTTCCTGTGTATAATTGAGCCTGGATAGTCATTATGTTTTTTTCCGAGGTTCATAATTAAAGAAACCTCGAAGGAGAGCTTTGTAGCTATTAGAAGGGTAAAAGAGAAGGTAATGTTCAGTGCAAGCTTGTTGTTTATGAACAGGTACATTTGAGCTTCCAGAAATTTCAGATTTGTAGCTGAAAATTCATGAAGGTCCAGAGACATTAGACAGGAGAACAGACTAACAGTCAGTCATGTCTGTTCATCGCTTGAATTATGTTTGTAAGACATGAGGTGTAATTCAGTACCAAAAGAGTTACGTTTTAAGAATTTTTATGAATTATGCTGCCCTCGTAAATTCTATGTAATTACTAAAATTACTGGATGCTTCCTTTGTTATTTTAAAAATAAAAGTATATGTTATTTTGCGTTTTGAAAACAATGCTCCACATGACATTCCTCTTGCATGCTTTGTTTTGCTGCTCATTCTGCCAGCTGTTCTTTTAGTTGGGAGGTTTTTCATCACCACACCCGATGACCTAGCTTCTTGTTGAAAAGGCGTTTGGAAAGATGCTTCTCCTCAGGAGGTACACGTTGGTCCAGCTCCCATGGTTTGTCCCCAGAAGGAAATCTGCCTTGGATGGGAGTGGTCAGGCAGATCCATTAGTTTCCATCTCCTAGTTTTTGGGTGAGAAGCAGAGTCAGAAATGATACGTAGTTGGTTCTGGTGAGGTTGCAGGAGAATGACCAAAACACCTATTGGACACTTCTCTGGCCTACAGGCAGTAGAAAATTGTCTTCTGTGGGGACCTGCACAATTTGTGTTGTGGAAAATAGGTTCTGTAGGTGGAGATTGCTGGAAAACATGATGCAATTATCATCTGAATTGATGATAATTGATATTACAGCTTTTTGTTGATTTAATTATCTCATTGCTGATGCTTGCCTGCTTTATGAAGTGGACTGCAGCCAAGGTGTCATGCACAAAACATGAAACATGTTTTTTCGTTCTTCTGAAGAAACACTGAAGTTGGTTGTTCGAGTGTTATACTTTCAAACCTGAAGCCTAGCTATGTGCTCTTTTGTAGTATATTCTTCCATGGGCAGACATTTGACATAAAGTTAGTCTGTTTGACGCAGGCCGTTGAACAAAGCTGAGCCTTCCTCCATGTCTGTCTGGTTTTGCTTGCTTCAGGTGAAGAAGTACCACCTCACCTCTGCTCAGACCTCCCTCGTCCTGAAGTTGTGGCTTGTGAAATCCCTTGTGCAACGGACTGTGTCATCAGCGAGTGGTCGCCGTGGTCCCCGTGCTCCCACTCCTGCTCCACTAAAAATGCTGAGGGCAGCCAAAGCAGGAGTAGGTCCATCCTGGCCCTTCCAGCCGAGGGTGAGTGGTAAACATTTTTGGATTAATCACTGTTTGGTTGTGTAATGAGTGTTGTGAAGGAGTTGTTAGGTTGCTTAAAGAATCACCATCAAAGATATTTGAAAAAGTGACTTTCCTGGAAATTTGTAGAAGTGTGGTTTAACAAAGTTCAATGGCGAGGTTCACTCTACATTCTTAAATGAATAGAATATGTATATATATATATGAAAAATCAAGACAGAAGCGAGTTAGAAGGATTTATACAGAGACTGAAAACAGAAGGGCATAAGGAAGGCCCTTCCATTGAGTCACAAGGCTCAGAATGGACCCCCTTGCTTTCTAAACTCCTTCTTAGAGAGAAGCCTAGATGCGGCTGGATCCAGACTTAGCCTTAGACTTTATCAATGGTTTATGTCTAAGAATTATGTATGTCTAGCAGCAGTTTAAGGTTGTTCACAGTTTAAGGGAGAATCACAGGATTTTAGCAGCAATTAATCATTGGTTAATTTAGTATTTACAAAGTGATTAAACGGGATTCACTATAGTCACGACAGTGGAATGTTATGATTTGAATCAATTCGCAGACACGCACACAAACAATATGCATATATAAAGGTACCTGGTGAAAAATCCCCTCGAGTTCAATGAAATATTCAGTCTGAGTGCCTCAGCATTTCTCAGCGGGTGAAGGCTGAGCCTGAAGGGTTGAGGGAGCCCCAGCATTCAGCCCAGGTCCCGTCGTCAGTTGGCGACGGTCCTCTGAACTTTGCAAACTTGCGAGCTGGCAAGCTCTGCGAGACATCCCACTCCGAGGGAGATGCTGGGCACAGCCCGCTGTGGTCCAAGAGAGCTCAGAGGGCCTCACTTGGTACCACTGCTTATCAGGTCACGAGGTGGTTGACTTTATGCGTCAGTAAATTTCTGTTGTGGCCACAATCTGCGTCAGTAATTATTGGAATTTTCAGAATTCCAGGAAGCCTGGTACCAATCCACCCAAGTTACAATGCAGATAAGGTATGTTCCAGGGCTGTCAGGGGGTGACACCACATTCGCCACCTTGGTCAGGGAGCCAGAGCTCCTGGTACGGTCAATGCTTCTTCCCACCTTACCCATGTGAGGTCCCGATACGGTCAAGGGCTGCTTCACAAGTCTTACGAGGAGCGGCTGTGGGGGCTGGGGCTGTTTAGTCTGGAGAAGAGGAGGCTGAGGGGCAGTGGCCTCAAGTTGCGTCAGGGAAGGTCTAGATTAGATATTAGGAAAATTTCTTCACTGAAAGAGTGGTCAGGCATTGGAACAGGCTGCCCAGGGAGGTGGTGGAGTCCCCATCCCTGGAGGTGTTCAAAAAACATGTAGATGTGGAACTTCCTGACATGGTTTAGTAGGCATGGGGGTGCTGGGTTGACGGATGGACTTGATGATCTTAGAGGTCTTTTCCAACCTATAATCCTATGATTCTATGATTCACCACCAAATTCATTGCACAAAGGCTAAGACTTGATGGGAATTCCTGAGATCATTAAGCGATCCAGGAGAGGGGGGGGGGAGAAGAATGCACCACCACAACGAGTTAACTTGCATTCCTCAGCCAAACGGTGTTTAGCTCAGAGCTAATCCTGGTACTGTAGCAATGAGGAATAATAATTAATATTTGTCTGTACCTCATGCCTAGCATGTAGAATATCTTTGTGGGCTTGAGTTAGTGCATGTGTCACTTAGAGAAATTCTGTCACAGTTCAAAATTATTTACTTCAGCCTATGAATTATTGTCTGTTGATGGCCAATCTGGGGGTGAATTTACTTCAGGAGAGCTACATCCTATACTAATGAAATTGCTGCACGATACAAATTTATGCAAGGGTCTTTGTGTAGGAACTTATTAGTGCTGATTTAGAAAAGAACAGTGAGCTGTGAAAAATGAGTAAATAGAAAAGGACCTGTTTATTTTATTAATTCAGTCTTAGAATGTATTGAGCTTGTTTTTCTATTGGAGTAAGTAAATAGCTCTTGATGACTATATATAATTTCTTCTGGATCTTTATGAACAAATCACGTATCTGCATTTTTACCTATCAACATCAGTGATACAATTATTTACACAGACTATTTTGTATCAGAAGTGTAGTCTTCTAACTGCAGTTACACGTACAGTAATTCATTTATGTGTTGGTTTATCACACGGGATTTGAAAGATATCGCATCGAATGCATAAAAATTCATAAAACACGAACAGGTCTGACAGACTAAAGCCTTGTTGACACAACTATTGTCAGAGCTATGTGCAGCTAATGCAGCAGCAAAACACTTTTAGATGCAAATCTAGTCTAGGACAAGCTCTGTTAAGTGCAATTTTGTAAATTATCATTAAAGCCACCCACTGTTTCTGGGGCAATAGAAGGACTTGATCTTGCAAATCCTTACCCGTGTAAATGGTCTGTATTCACATAAACATCCTTATAAGCACTTGCAAAGAAAATTGGGACCCTTCAGGATGAAAACTGCTATATAATTGTTGATTGAATGATAATAACTACTACTAAAAAAATCTGTGAGGTAGGGAATAAATAAAAGGAAAAATAGTTAGCTTGATGTGTTCCGTGGAAGTAATGGAATGCAAATAATGGATAAACATGGAATTATGAAAGTGAAGTGTTGAAGAAGTGACTTCTGGAAGGATGTAAGCTCGGTCATCTCACCCTGAAACACACTCAACTAAAAATGGCGTGCTTCAAACTGAATACCTTAAGTTTCTCGGGGAGGAATAATCAACTATGGAAACAAAATGCCCCAACTATTTCTGTGCATCTTTAGCAATGAGTGTAATGGTTTGCTATGCAGAGTCACGCATCTGCATACAGGTAAATAGTGATTGATTGGAATCTGTGGAGTGTGGAAGTGGATTTCGTACCATTAACACTGCAATACTAAGGCAACCTTATGTTACCTGCTTTCTCACTCTTTCATTCGCGGCTCATAGCTGAGCAGGAAGCTTCTGCAGAGCTCTGGCACCTTTGCACATGATATTTCATTTGTCCTATATCAGCTGAGGCGATGTCAGGCATGGCTCTGCTGTCTGAGGACTTCTGGATGCCATCCTGCAGGCTGACTGCAGTTCGAACCCTTGGGTCCTTTTCTCCAAGCTATTCACCAGCTCCCAGAATATGATAACCACGAGGCTGTTGATGAAACTAGAGGGGCTTGGTTTAAATCAGATTTTAAAAGATATATCTTTACACAGCAAACTTCTCAGACTTGGTACAAGTGGAGATTGTGGAGGCAGGCACTCTCAGGAGGTTTCAAATGGATTAGAGGAACTGATGAACACAAGTCTCTAAAAGGTCCATAAATGCCTACTAAAAGGGTTAGGCAGTGGTGTGCTGTCCCGCTTTCCATGTACAAAAGTTGTCAGTGAACTGCAGAAAATGGCCCGGCTCTTGTGCTGCTGCTAAACAGCAGCTCCTGCTTGCAGTTTTGCAGGCAGGCTGCAAGGCTGGATGGACCATCTGGCATTTCTTACGTTCTTCAGTTAAAACTGCCTTGTTATTACTGTCCCCTGTTTAGGAGAGCTTCCTTACCATGGGTATTCTTGAAAAAAAGGTGTTAATTTTTCCCTGGGAAACCCAAATTTTGAGTTAGATTTTTTCTTTTTTTTCCTTTTTTTTTTTTTATTTTCCTAATGGACCAGCCATTTTGCCATTTTCTTGGTGGTGTGGTGTTTGGGGTTTTTTTAATGCGCTCAGACACACAGAAGCAATAACTGGTCTGCATTTTTTCTCCCAAGTTGAAATCTTCAGGAAAGCAAGTTACCTGGGGCATTTTCTACTCCATCATCACGCTAAACGTTTCTGAGACTGAACACTGTGTGGAACAGGCTATTTTCATGAATAGATGAATGGTAATGTGACATGATTACCCAAATCCATGGGCTAGGAAATTTCTGTCCCTCTCTTTCTTTTGTCGATACTATTCATCGTGCCCGTTTGGGGCCATACCCTCTTTGAGCAGGCTCAGTGCTGCGAGGCGATCGGCATCCCTGCGAGGGGCAATATATCTTCATCTCCTCTTGATTTTAGCAGAGCATAAAGGTGCTCTGAACCTTGTCGTATCTGGCCCAAACACTTCAGTTCTTTCAAAACCTGCAGCACTTTTCCTGTGTCACAAGTTGCCAGGTTCTCCCTCCTGGAAGAGAATGGTTTTGATTTTAGTCATTTTTACTTCTTTCTACCTAAAATGACAGTGCTTACTGTTCCAATTCACTGCATTACTCCTTAGCTTTTGAGCTACAAACATCTGCTGCTTTTATGGGATAAATTCAGGCTGCTGGCTAGAGTGTTAAAGCTTCTGGGGAGGCTGTTCAAACTCCTGTACTTTGTGGGTTTATTACTGGTTGTTGACAAAGTGCGGGAGCTTAGCAAAATCTTTTGACACCAATTTGAAGGGTGCTGCTTCAGAAAAGGAAAGGCTTCGTACTCAAAACCTATCTTTCAAAGTTTCCCCCCCTTCATTTGCGGATGTGGGTATCAGTTGGTGCATTCCTCCATGAGTATGGTTCAGCACCCTCTACAGCTCAGCTCTTTAAGGCAACGTGTGAATAGAGTCCAAATATTAGAAAGAGACATTCCTCCTTGGGAAAATAGCAAGGAGAATGAACATAAAAATAATGCTTAATTTGTCTTTAAACCTAATTGCATGTTTGCTGAGTGATACTGGCATTTAAATGGAGTCAACTTGGCTGCGTGTAGGAGTATCAATAAGGTAACTCAGAAATATACTTTGCCTATTTCTGTTTCCATTATGCGTTGGAATACAATTTTATGCAAGGCTAGTTTAATGGGGAAACGATATTTTAGAAGGTTGTTATTGCAGTGATAAAGGTCAACAGCTTTATTTAAGCTTTATTTATTTATTTATTTTAAGTGAAGAGAAAAAAAAGAAGAAATATATTAAGCAAATCTAACAGTTTTATTTATTTTCCCATGACTTTTTTTTTGCTATGTGCAATAAAGTAAAATATGGTGTTCTCTTGACTCTCTCCAGGTGGAAAAGCCTGTCCCCCGGACCGAGCCTTGCAGGAGCACCGTGCCTGTAATGATCACTCGTGCGTGCATTTCTTCTGGGAGACTTCTCCCTGGAGCCCGTGCTCTGAAGATGCGCTGGTGACTGCGCTCAATGCAACCATGAACTGGAGCGGAGAAGCCACTTGTGGAGTGGGTGTGCAGACAAGGAAAGTCTTCTGCGTGAAGAGCAGTTCTGGCCAGGTCACACCTAAAAGGTATTTAAAGCAAGGCTATTAGTGATTATTTGTAGGTACAGTACATTACATATGAAAGCATTTTCAGCCAGCATAGGGAATCTGCGGCTTTGAAAGTAATTTCATTTCAGGGCTAATTCTCCAGCTACTACTCCATCACTACTAAGAAGGGGATACTAATATGTGACAAAAATAAATAGCCCATTTTTAATTTTCTGTGTAAATCTAAGCAAAATGTGTGGGTTTAGTGGTGTAGATTTTTTGCCATAGCTCCTCTGTTACTCTAATTTACAGTTCTCTGTGAACATTTTTCCTAAAGGACAGGTGTGAGGAAAATGTAAAGTATGTCTGGATATAATGTTCATCAATGTTATTAACAATGCTCTAAAAAAGTAAATAGAGTTTGCATTATATTTACATCGCAATAAGGCAGAACCGTGTGTGTGATCTATATTGTTCAGTTGATTTATATAGCTTCTCTAATGTGATACCACATGACAAAATTATGTATTCTGCAAATACAAATACTCTGAATTTTGCTTTGCTTTACTAAATGAGGAAAATAAGTAGCGCAGATGTTTTCCTTAATATCAAAAAATCAAGACATTGCTAATTATTTTTTGCACTGTTAATGAGTCTGGAGACTTACAACTGAGTTTCATTTCTTACTGTAGCTCTCAAAACAATCCTGTTCGTATAAGCAGACTGTGTTGATTTCAGTAAAGTTAATTAAAATTCTTGAGGTTAATGAGATTAATTAAATAAAAGGAAAGAAATCTAGTATTCATTTATATCTAGAATCCATTTATATGCTGTAAATTTACCTAATTAAACATATTATAGGGCTGTATAATGCCTGAAATAGTTGTTTGGCCCCTTCACGTTTGAGATAATGTAAGGGGAAAAGGAATTGAAGGGGGTAATTAAATACTGAAGTGAAGTACGGGAAGGGAGAACAGAGTTTCAGTGGAAAATCCCTGCCAAAAGAAAGGAGAGTTGTGTACTGAGGACTTCAGAAAGGGTCTCCCTTTGGCTTTGGTGGGGCAGCCTCAGTGCCGCAGCATTCCTCGCGTAAGGGAAGCAGCTGGAGCAGAAGGGACTGCTGACCCCTGAAAAGAGCTTCTTACTGAAATCGATTCCTTTGCTGCTGCGCTGCGTGGTGTTCTTACAGTGATAATCATCTTAAAAATAAAACCCGTAGACCTCTACAAGTCTTTAAGAAGACGGCTCAAAGAGATAGAATAAACCCCCTGTGTTTCAGAATTAACTGGTACCTCGTCAGTGCCCGGAGGGTCCGGACGGGTCTGGTGCCAGGTGGAGGGCAGCCCTCCTCGCTGTGGACACTGGCTCTGGCTGTAGGGTGTTTTATGTTGGAGTTGATGAAAACTGACCCAAAGCAATGCTGAGTTTAGAACTGCGGTGTTGAAAGTCTGACAATAATATGGCTTCAGAAATGGGACACGCTATGTAAAGAAATAACCTTTGTGTGTTGGCATACTGTAGTTTTTTTTGTATTCTGCATTTTTCCTGATTTCATGAGGAAAAATTACACCACATCTCAAGAAGGTACAAGGCACAGAAAGCCAACTATAGTTAAATTTTTGCGGAAAAATATTTCAACATGTTCTGTTAGATAACAGAAATCAACCCTCTAGGATAACCATGGTTAATCAGAAGACATGTCTCTTTGTGTTTATTTTCTTTTAAGCTGTACGTCTAAGTATCTTATTGCTATCTCAGTAACAGAAACGTGACTTCAGGATTTGTTTTCTTTCCTTGTAGGGCTTAGTGGCATATTCCTCTTTCAAATGGGACCATTCTGAGTCGCATGCATTACTAAGTATTTTTGAGTGAAAAATATTTCTACTAGAAATAGATAAAAATTAAAAAAGAGTAATTCCCTTTCTGTTCCTCCACTTGAAATGCAAGATCTGCCTGATCCCAGAAAATTGTCTGTTTTCAGCCTTTAGAGTTTTTATATATTAACTGTCTGTGTCTGAAACTCTTATTGCAATGTGCACGACATTTTTCATTTAGGAGTTAAAAGTGAATTAAAAAAGAAGTAACATCTCTTCTTATTAAACTTTGTTGTACAACTTTTTAAATAACAGTCGAGGCCTTGATCAAAGATCACTGCAAGCTGTTTTGTGTTACCTAGGGGTTGAAAGTGGAGAAATATCACATCAGTGTTTACACGCAGTTGCAAGTGGTTTGAAGGCGGTTGCATGTTGTGTTAGAACAAGAGTACTTTATAAATGTAACTACTCGCTTTCTTCGGTAATAAATATATCTGTTTTGCTTCAGTGAGCTTTGTATTTTAGCCATGATAGACAGAGTTACATTTAGCCTGTAGTCATCAAGCCAAGCTTCACTTTTAAAAATTTTCTTTTTATTTTTTTAAATCTTTGAAGTGTACTAAATTCACTGGGGTTACATGAGAGCAAAGGAGAATTCAAATGAGGTTTGCTGTGACAAGGAGTGATGTCTTTGGTACGGCAGTATGCTCACAGCCCTGTGAGAGTCTTAGGAGCAAAACAGTTCCCTGTAGTTTTAATTTTTTTTGTAATATTTTATCTTTGTATTTGGATCGATAGATGTCCAGAGTCCATCAGACCCGAGACCGTGCGGCCATGTCCCCTCCTCTGCAAGAAAGACTGCGTTGTTACGCCGTTCAGCGAGTGGACTCCCTGCCCAACAGCATGTCAGCCTGGTAAGCCTTTAAGAAGAAGGCAAAATTTGGGGCAAAATTAGAGATTTGGCCTAGAAACATGCAGTAGTTATAGTTTGTGTCAGTCTAATAATTTTTAGGGCACTCATCTGAATGAGTTTTGGACTTGAGGTGTTGTTGGCACTGATGGTGTTGGGGAGCGTGGGATCCTCATGAGCAGATTTGGAAATGCAAGTCCTCTTTACCTGGAATAAAGAATTTGAAGACAGATGTCCAGGATCCCAATGTTGTATGGCTATACGTGGAGTTGCTACGTTATGTGAAATTTATTCTCTTGACCATTCTAGATGTATGTACAGGGTTGTGCAAATAACCCTGATCTTTCAAGGACCATACACGTCTTTGATCTCGTTGGTTAGCTTTTGGACACTAGGTGTTTAGCGAAGTTTCTTTGTAATGATCCAGTGTTGGTTTTTGTGACAAATTTGTGTGTTTCATTAATTGTTCAGATGAAAGCCTTCTCAGTTATCAAATATTTCATTTTTGTTGGTGGCTTCCTTGCCCTTCAAAAATGCTCAGTGGATGCTCCACCGTAGTCCTTGTTAGATTTTACGGGAAAATGAGTTGCTTTCTAAAACAGTGAATCCTGTTTTAATTAGCAATTTATTTTTAGACTTTAAATGAGCTGCCTATGAAGAAGTAGAATAAATTACCTGGTAAATTACTTTGTTTATTAAATAATAGTCTACAATTAAAATGAGAAGAAATTAATTATTTAACCTCCTTGGCAGTGTTATCATTTTAATATAATTCTAAATTAAAACTTCTTAGATGGGGGAGTTTGCTTTCTGCTAAATCTGTTATTGATATGGCTGCATTGCAAGATTTTTTTTTTTAATTTGCATTGCACGATTAAACCTCAGCACGATAATGAAATTTCAAAACTACTGTGCATATGTGAGTTGTTAGGGTTTTTGGTTTTCCTATAGAAAAGTTGTATTTAATGAAAACAATATACAGATGGTGAATTACTAAGCAGATCAAGTAGGAACAGGTATTGCCTGGCAGATTTAAAATTAAATGTGTACCAGCAGAAGATCAGAGCTTAGACAAACATGCAGTCACTAAATCAGCTTTACGCAGAACTTTACCAGGTAAACTGTAGTTATCCGAGAAAATGTGTCCAACATATGTCATCAGACAACAGGCTGTCTTCCGGCGAAGGATTATCTCATACCTCAGAAGTGTAGACAGCGGTGAACTTAGGGCAAGAACAGATGGACGGACAACATAATTCACGAAAGAAGTGCAGTTGAATCCAAACACCTGTTGGTGGGGCAGGAACAGGGAGGCTGTTGCAAGTTATTGATCCTCTGCTATTTCGGATACTTAAAGGTGACAACTGTCTACTGCAGTCTTCTATAATATATCTGTTTTAATGGGTCTTTGAGGATGAATCGAAACAAGAACGAAAGAATCAATATGGAGGTTTCAGAATATGAAATGGTTTGAATGAGCAGCATGTAGATTTTCCTCTTGTCACCTGCTTTGCCGGTGGTGAACGTGTCCTGGGGAGTTAAGGGCTTTCAGCATGGGTGATGTGCTCTCTGGTCTGTTGGCATGGATTTAAAAAATAATCACCAACAAAACCAAACCTCGACAATAAAGAACATTATAAGCATAACCTTATATTTTTTAATTTATTTTTATATTTATGCATTATAGGGATAACCTTATTTTTTTTATATTTATCCTGATATTTTTCAGATTTCAGGATAACCTCCTGAAAACAGATGGTGTCTGTAATTACTTCTCTTCTGGGCAATGGTTGTCCAGGGGGAAGGTTAGAAATTTCACTGTTCTTTAATTCTCAAAATAAGTTTATGTGAAACGTTAGGTAGTAACTGTCCAATCTGTTTCCCCGTACCTTAAATCAGATTTGAAATGAGATGGAGTAAAATTGGCTAAAATGCATGGCATACCATGATAAGAAATTCCAGTGACCTCCACCTTGTGTCAGACAGTTTCTGTCAAGGATCTGCCACTTTCACTTCTCCTAAACAAACACCCAAGCAGAGTTGGTCAAAGTTAAAGACATATCCTTCAAAAGCTCTTATCTGGAGACAGCTCTGATTTTGGTGACTAAAATCTCAGAGAATCTGTCCATGTTATTTGTGTGCTCAGAGTCTTGTGTTGACCAGACTCTGCCTTTTCATCTGGTCAGGAGCCCAGAGGATGAAGGTGAACATTTCCTGTAAGTGCCTGTCAGTGTTTGAGGCATTTGGACAGTGCCCTTAGTAACATGCTGTAACTTTTGGTCAGCCCTGAAGTGGCCATGCAGTTGGACTAGATGATCCTCGTAGGTCCCTTCCAACTGAAATATTCTATTCTATAAAAGCTGCCCCGGCTATTCTATCAAGATATAGCAGACTTTACAGTAGTGAGCAAGACTGCATCTGACAACGGTGATCCACCTTTCTGAGCCCTGGGCAGGGTACCAAGGAAGCGACTGGGGACAAATGTGGAGGAAGCAAGATGCAAGAGCAAGGAGAGAATGAGAAGAGTGGATTGACAGAAACAGTCATATGGGTCTGTGGGTAAGGAGAGGAGACTGAAGGCTGGTAGGACAGGGAGGTGGGAGTGGAAGAAGAGGTGAGGCATCTCTGAAATTCTCAAACAGTGTTATCTGAGTTGCAAAGTCAAAGACCTAGGAGTTAAGATTCTCTTCAGATCCTCAGGCTTGATTTTTTCAGGAGGGCAAGCAGTCATAACCGTGCTTGAAATCAGCTGAAGTTCGGCTTTAAAAGTAGAGTCCTACACAATGCTAATACTCTGGAAAATCAGACTACAGCAATTTTAAATGAGATACAAAAATTACGTTCATTAACATTTGTAAGGAATGCTGTAGAAAAGCCAGTGAGGAAATTCAATTTTGAAAATGGGGTTTGAGTAATGTGCAATAAATATTGAGGATAATTTAGTTTCTTGAGGTGGAGAAAATTACCGTGGGAAGCTCATTTAGATTTGGGACTGATAAATAGGAAGGAAATGGCTAAGATTCTAATGGTGGCAGATAATTTGAATGAAAATCATCACAAGCTGATAGAGTTCATGATTCTTAGAAGGGAAGGATGGCAATATCAGCAAGATATTAAAAAAAAAAGACAAACTTCAACAAACTCGGATAATCGGTAGCTACACCTCTTGGGAACATATTCTATGCAGATGTGAGTGTAGAAGACCTGGAAGCTACCAAGAAAGACGTTCTGAAGGGCTGAAGCCCAACTGGGCTTTACTTTCTGTCCTGAAACTATTGTAAAAACAAGCCGGCAGCACGGGGGACCAAGCCATGTGTAGCTCTGTGTGCAACTTATGTTTGCAAGCTTCAGTTCGTGAAGAGAAAACATCAAACAGCTAGCACAGCCCAATTTTTAGCTTTTCTCATCATCACAGTTGTTCAGAACCTTGTTTGCTTCTTGATTGTCAAATTGTTTCACAAAAATTAGAAGCATGTAACTAGAGGTGAATTTAAAAATGTGGTGTAGAAATCAAGAATGCAAATTAAGGTATAGGAGGGTATTAGATAACAAGAGTTACATAAATGGATTATAAGTAAGGGGAAGCTGAATGAAATATTTGTCTGTTATTTACGGAGAACTGAGGGAAACACATGGGGAATGTACAATTGCTGTTGCTGTTTCCTGGCTGCAGCCAGGAGAGGAGTGGACGAAAGTAGAAGTGTTTCAATAGATTTAGATGTTCCCGTATCGGGAGGGCTGTGTGAATACAGAACAATCAATTAACACCAGAGCATCTAGGGCTATCTTCTCGGTGAGAAATTGCTAAGTCCTAAGGAACTAACTAGGACTCAGTAATACCAAGACAAACCAAAGCAACCAACCAGCAACCTCCCTCTGCCTCCTACCTCTCCCAACCCCCTAACCCCCCAAAAAAAGAGACGTCAAGGAAATTGTAGGCTACTTATCCTAATTTTATGTAGAAAAACACAAGAACAAGTCATTACTCAAGATACAAACGTTTCAAGAATCAGATTCTGATAAACTGACCAGTATGGATTTATTGAGAACAAATCATGCCCAATGAATTTAATCTCATCTTTTTATAGCATAGCTGCTCTAATTAAGGGAAGTGGTAGTTTTTTTACATATTAAACTTTTATCAGGAAGCTAAGGAACAGTGACTTGAATTAAAGGACTGTTAAATGGGTATTCAGCTGCTTGAAAAAATCTCACAGTGAATATCACTGTGGAGTCTGCCTCCATCGCCTTTACTGCCTGCCATCAGGTATTGATACACATTGTGCTGGTCGCTCTTTAAACAACACTTCTTCCATGCACAGGAGCAATGCATCCCCCTGAGAAAGAAATCGAGCAAAGGAGGCAGGAGACCTGCATGGTTAAACAAGGAGCTTCTAGCAGAGATCAGGCAGAAGAGAAAGGTCCATGGAATGTGGAAAGAGGGGCAGGCCACTTGGGAAGAGTACAGAAACGTGGTGAGAGCATGCAGGGATGCGATGAGGAAGGCCAAGGCCCACCTGGAATTGAAGCTGGCAAGGGATGTCAGAAATAACAAGAAGGGCTTCTTCAACTACATCAGCAGTAAAAGGAAGGCTAGGGACAATGTGGGGCCGCTGCTGAATGAGGCGGGTGTCCTAGTGACGGAGGATGCGGAGAAGGCAGAGCTACTGAATGCCTTCTTTGCTTCAGTCTTCAGTGCTAAGACTGGCCCTCAGGAATCCCAGGCCCCGGAGGGAAGAGAAGAAGCCTACA